GTGTTGCACCTTCAGAGTACAGATCCTGGCGGGAAAGGGAGGAGTGGCGGAGCGTGGAGACAGTGCAGGACTGGACACTCAATGAGTCACTGGGTGTTGCACCTTCGGATTGCAGACCCTGGCGGGAAAGGGAGTAGTGGCGGAGCGTAGAGACAGTGCAGGACTGGACACTCACTGAGTCACTGGGTGTTTTACCTTCAGAGTGCAGATCTTGGTGGGAAAATGGAATGGTAGAGCGTAGAGACAGTGCAGGACTGGACACCAACTGTTGTTGAGTGCTCAGCCATGCGACACGCCTAGTCTGTGATCAATCAGGTGTCGAAAACCACCAGCAGCACAACTCCATGGCCTTGTGCGTTCTCAAGCCACACTGAGACGACCCTGTTGCAGCCGACATCAAAAACACTACCCCGCCCGCCCTCTACATTCTGTCACAGACAAGCAGACTTTGACTCTCACAAACATAGAAGAAAAAGAAGCAGACGAGGAGGGAACGACCCAGAAAGACGTGCAGAAACGTGGAAATCAATAGCCACACATCTCCCCCCATGACTCACGCAACTCCCAGCCCGTCCCCGCGCTTCACGGGTCGACTAGTATCGGAAAACCGACATGAAACTATTTGTAGCTCCCACGATGTGTACAGAAAACGCATCTGGAGTTCGTTATTTCACAATGGCTAAACAGAACAATGCAGAATTTCCTGGTGCCGACAAAACAAGTAGAGTATGTCAACGGTTATGATTAGCACTCATACTAATCTAGACACTGAGTGGGAGTTAGTTGACTATCAAATGTCCGATACCCATAAACATCGCAATATGTGCAGACACGACACTACCAAAGTAGAACGAATCTCAGCCAGTCTTGACGTAATTTTCTGATTTCTGAACCATGACATGATAACATACTGATATGTTTCTCAGTCGATGTGAGGTTACTGCACCGACATTGCAAACCCCATTGGTTAGTGAGCATGGAAAGGGAAAAGGAGAGCTCCACAACACTCCCTTGGAGATAGATTGGCTGCTGCTGCACCTCTGGGTGGTAAGCAACTTTATGATAAAGCAAAAGTTACCAAGGCTCTCTGTGATCAAAATGGACCGTGCAATAGAACAAACAGAGAATTCGTACACTTAAAGACCTATTCCAAAAAGGGGCGGGGGCTGAGTAGAGGGTCAGGAAGATAACCAACACGGAGGGGAGCATGGACTTTTAATCATGTTGCAACTGGTACTATTAGCAAATTAACTCTTCGATGGCTGGCTACTGAATAAGGTGACGGACTATGCTGGAATGTCCGGAGTTCAGTGATGACAATTCTTGATTCATTCATTTATTTTTTCAAATTTTACTACTGGCTCAGAAGGAGATTCTCTACTTTAAACCTCACTGCACAGATTGTAAGCCTCTTTTCATGGTTCAAAGGACTTCAAGACCAACGTATCTAGCAGGAGATGAGATGTTGGGTACCACATTGCTAATAGACTCCATCTGAATGTACAGACCTGCCACAGGCAAATCTGTGAGTAGATTCTTCAAGCAGCAACACTGTAAACTTTCCTACATGCTCTAAGACAAGGCTATCAATTGACCGCCATGGTCGGATTCAGCTCTCGGAGCCCTAGCAAGTGGCCTATGGATAATTGTCAGTTGTTCTATATTAATGAGGAAAACATGACATTTTTTCACCCCCACATGTAAAGCCATGTCACTACACAGCCAACAGTTTGAGGAGCCCTGTAATCATACGGGGGTAGCAAAGAGGCTTACCTCCGTATCACTTGTCATGCAACAGCATAGGATTTACGAATACACTGCTGCATGTAATACCTCAAATGATTTTCTTCTCCTCCAATCAGAAACAGAGAAAGACAGTGCCAGTTTATGAATGGAGAAAGGTGTTTTAATAAATGGAAAAGGGTATTAAGCCTATTATTCGGTGTGTAACAGGGAAGGAAGAATTGGGTCAATCAGCTGCAAAGCTGAAATAAAAGTAGTGGGGAACCCCATCAATAATGATCTGAGGTTTCAGGGAAACTAAATGCTGATTAGGCTGCATCTGCTTTTAACAATGAAAAGTCAAGAATCCTACAAGTTTAACCTAGAAATCTAAATACAGTTATAATAAACTATCAACTTTAATGCCGAATGACAAAAGACTATAAAACCATGAACTTTAACCTGAATTCTGACGGGAAAAAATTACAACTATCAACTTTTAACTCACAGATAAAGGGTCCAAAATAAACCCATCACCTTGAACCTTAGAAGATGGCAAAGAGGACATTCATTAACCTTGGGATACAGTAATAGGACATGCCTTTTACTCTGGATTATAGCGAACAGGACATCCCCATCTCTGTATCCCAGGGCCCCATTTTCGGGGCAAAATGAACAGACTTACTGTCTCCCCTAACAAACATGTCGTAAAATGCAATTAAGTAGAAATCAGATGTACTGGGTCGAAAGACACAGCTGCAGCCTAGATGTCAACCATGACACAACATGCCAACTACCCTTTACAAGGCAAAAGCAGAAGAAGCAAATGGATATAGCACGAGATCGAGTAAATAATGAAACTATCAGGCAAATTGTGGGAACGACACCTTGTTCTAGATTCATCGAGAAACAGCAGATTAAATGGTTTGGCCATCTCGTTAGAATGCAGCAAGATCAAATACCATCACAAGCACTACATCTCAGAAGATCAGTTACAAGAGCAAGAAGACGGCCGCGGAAAACATGAATCGACAACATTAAAGACACTTGACGCCTTTACGGCATGACAATAACCAGTGGCAGCCAACGTGCACTGGATCGCAAATTATTCCTCCCCACGACACTTAACGGCAGAAGTGGTTTATGATGATGATGATAATATATAGCGAAGAGGACATATTTTGTGTTTATCTTGAGGTACAGTTAAGGCGTTGAAATGATAGGTTATGACCCTGCTATAAGTCAAAGCCTAATACACTGCACTTCTTTAACTATGAGATTTAACAAAGATTTAGACACAATCCTATTATAATCTTGAGATAACTAGAAATACGACTTATAAACCATCTTCATTTCATGTATGGGTAAAACAGACACAAATATGACCTTTCTGAGTTATTTGAAACATAGCAGAGGGTAAAAACAACTATTCCTTAAACCAATAAATGACCATTTAGCATAGAACTAGAAATGTCTTTTCTTCTGACCCTGAAAGAGCAAAAGACCAAGAGATTACATTTTTTTCTAGAAAGCCATGAAAATGACCTTTTATTCCCTGGCCCTGAAATAGCTAGGCCCTAACAATGACATTCCCTCTGGCCTGAAATAGTGAAGCTCTAGAAATGACCTTCCCTCTGGCCTGAAATAGTGAAGCTCTAGAAATGACCTTCCCTCTGGCCTGAAATAGTGAAGCTCTAGAAATGACCTTCCCTCTGGTCTGAAATAGTGAAGCTCTAGAAATGACCTTCCCACTAGCCCTGAAATAGTTCAGCCCTAGACATGACCTTTTTTTTTTTGACCCTGAAATAAGGCCCTAGAAAAAAATGATCATCCTTCAACATTAAGATTGAGCAAAGGCCCAGAATATAACTTTATGCGAAATTTTATGTATATGACCTTGAAACATGAGAGACATAGAAATGATCATTCTATTAAACGATATACATGTCTAGATGACATCGCTTTTTTTTAAACCTAGTAATATGACACAGACATAATTACTTTCCCTTCACTATCGACTTAAGTGAGCCTCAAACTATTACTGACCACAGGCATATTCAGGAACCACAGTGGCTAGTACACTGGGTGCCAGTCCAGTGGTCAAGTACCTGGATGACCATCAGGCTAGCAGACAAGCTTGCTAGTCACTGTGCTGAAGTAGCCCTATTTGTGTGCAGCCAATTAAAAAAAAGGCTCAGCAACCTTTACGAATATCTCGAGTTGGGTTAAGAACTGACATCACAGCATTCAGGGCACTCCCATGTGCACTCCGTCCCCATCTTCAGCAGCCAGCGCAGAGTTCCAATACTGATGTTACTGGTCATATGTCCGTCTTGCCTTTCCTCTGAATCTAGTGAGCCGCCCAGACCCTCTGGTTAAACCCAGGTGCCTCATTCTCTCCAGGCTTATGAATATCTAAAAGTAGGGCTATTCAACTGGTAGCCTGTGGACCAGACCTGGCTCACGGATCATGTACCAACTATAACGTAATAATGATCTTCCTATGCTTAGGCTCCAGCCTCTGGCCCATGACAATCCCCATTTCCAAGAATTTGGCCCCTGAATAAACTTAGCTCAACAGCCCTGAACTAAAGAGAATGATTACAAAATTATGTTTCACCTCTACAACAATGGTTGGCTAGCTACAGTGTACTCACTGCTGAATTTAGAATATTAAGCGCTGAGGCCCTAATCTATTTCACCTCGTGACATTTGCACCACAGTCCGGAAACCAGGAATGGCTTTTTTTTTTCTTTTTTTTTTTTAATAAACCATCTTCTGCAGAAGTCAAGCCTAGTGCTCAAGGATCAAGAAACTTAAATGTATTCACTAACATTTATGCCACAGGGCCGACATGATTATAGATGGAATCAAAACATTTTTCTGTTTTCTTTCTCTGTTACGATTTTAAACTAACAGAAAAACTTTCATGATGATACTGGTGTAAATATTATCATGTTGGTATCAGCATGTGGATATCAGAAGGGCTAAGCATTTACAGGCAAGTTACTTTCAGAGAGATACAAATTCTTAGCCATACAGGGGTCTGAACTCTGGTGTTCAGGAAGGTTAACCCATGCAACAAATGCCTGCAGAAGTCTGATGTGTTATGTTAGCGGAGAGCTGTAAACATCATAGCTGTCATAAAAAGAGCCCTGGTCTCCTGAGAGAGACTGATAACCTTATCTCTCTGCACTCTCCTCTATAAAATTCCCCAGAGATGCATCGTCCTTGCAAAACTCACCCAGCAACAAACTGCACATCCAACATGAACTCACCTGCAAGGGCCTTTATCCTTGATCTTTCAAAAAGTTTGGAAGAGTTATTGCCTGCATCGAAATCTTCATCTACAACCACATGGTCCCACCGGACATTGTTGACCAGGGACTCAATCTCTGTCATGGTGATGTCTACGTCTGCACCACCTCAGTCACACTCATTCAGTGACCACCACGATCCTAGACAAAGTATAAAACAGTGTGAGCCAAACAAAAAAAAAGTCTGGACAGTGTATTAAATATTTTGAGACATGAAAAGCTGGACAGAGTATGACACGACATGAGACATGAAAGCCTGGACAGAGTATAAACACGACATGAGACATGAAAGCTTGGACAGAGTATGACATGACATGAGACATGAAAGCTTGGACAGAGTATGACACGACATGAGACATGAAAGCTTGGACAGAGTATGACACGACATGAAACATGAAAGCTTGGACAGAGTATGACACTACATGAGACATCAAAGTCTGGACAGAGTATGACACGACATGAGACATCAAAGCCTGGACAGAGTATGACACGACATGAGACATGAAAGCTTGGACATAGTATGACATGACATGAAACATGAAAACAGTACGAAACATTACAAGACATGAAAGGCTGGACAGAGTATGACATGACATGAGATCAGTACGAAACATTACGAGACATGAAACGCCTGTTACAGCTGTTGCACATGCATGGAAGCTGTTAAACTGTTAGTGACTGGCTGAACTCCACCTGTTTCTGTTAACTGTAACATATTTTTGTTTTTCTGTGTCTGCCCTTAAGCATACCATGTTGTGGTTTACAGCCAGGTTGTGGTATACATACCTTTCAGCCTAACACATTCGTCTTCAGCTAACTCCTAATCGGTTCCTGCTCACAACATGCAAGTCAACAGCCAGTGAGTATATTCTTTTCCCCCCGACAAATGGGTCCTCGGAACCCACAAGCGGTAAAACAATTTTTTTTTAGTTTTAAAACATAAATTATCCATAAGGCTCAGATAGAGTAGCTATCAATTCCCCACCACCCCCGTGTGGGTTCCGGGGCCCTATTATAAGAAAAACAAGATTAGACCCTCTGCCTACTTAAAAGAATGTCGTAGGAGTCGACTAATTAGGAGCTTCCTTCGAAGTTGGAGTGCTTCTGCCTGAGAGGCAAGAAACCAACAGTCTACACAGAAATGCGTCAGATCATCTGTCAAACGGATGCACAGGCAACACTCAGATTCTGGAACAGGACTGCAGTCCAGAAGTGGACGAACAACCAAAACTTTCCACCAGAGTTTACAGCTGGTAAATGCAAAGAAGAAGAATTCCCCAACCCACTGGTGCAGCATTAACAAACCTGTCTGTAAGTTCGCTCTGAGAGAAGATTTTGTACTAACCATGCTGAAACGTTTACATCTGGAAGAGATAATAGACATACCGGAAGTAATTGCAACATTTCTTGAAGTGCCCCCTCAGATCAAGTAGAGCAGTTGTTAGTGCTCTATAAAATCCAGCTCTTAGCGAGAAGGAGGCTGTTTAAGTGGCTATAACTATAAAGTGAGGGATTGTCACCATTGAGTTTCTGTTTGCTGGAAGTATACTACTTGAAAATACATATATATGTCTCTACAGAGACATGACATGATCAGGTTACAGATAAATTATCTCTGAATACTTTCTTTTGTAAAACTATAACAGTATTCAATTTTTTTTTCATCAAGTGGTTACAGCTGATACCAAATGGTATGAGTTGTGGCAGTAATTAGCAGCTGAGTTAGTAAAAAAAATGAAACTTGGAACCAGAAAAAGCAGTAGAAACAGTAGCAGTTACTGTGATAGTTGTTGCAGCCTGGACAGTAATCAGTATTCAGTATTGTTGTTGGTCCAATGTCCTAAAAAAAAACTATAACACTAAATCTTTACAATACAGATTTGCCATCATTAGGATTAGGAGGTAAATAAGTTGGATCTCTAATCTAATCTAATGAAACCAGGCTTTACATTTTTGTTTTTAACTGTCAGGTATTCTCTAACCACCAAAGATATCTTAGACTAGATTCTTCCCCTACAGTCTTTTATTTTTTTAATGTTAATGAGTGCCCATCAAAAAATTATCACTTTTTTGTGAATGAAACTTGAACACTCAACTCCCGAGAAAATTAACAATAGCAAAATACTACTTTGTGATTTTTTTTTCTTTTCCACTTCTGATTCATGCAGATACCTTAGCTAACATCAGACTACTATAAACGTTTCAAACTTTCGACCCGGTATGATTCATTCATATCGTGAACATGAATGCGGAAGCGGCAACATTTACGCCGACACGATAACAGATACGTCGCGAAAAGGACGTGAATGCAACAGATTATGAAGGCTATTTTTGCTCCTACTAAATTATTGCAATTCTAAGTTTCTTACTCTAGCGAACCGATTTTATAAAATGCTCAAACTACATGTAGATGCCCTTGGAGAAAAATTACAAAAGCTACGAGTAGGTTAGAGGAATGATGAATCGCGTCCAGCGCCATTTTGAAGGGCATATCTTTCACATTCTCACAATGCATCAGGTTGCAAGATTAATCAACTGCTAGAAATCATTTATTATTAGCATTACCTGGAGGAACGGACCGTCAGTAAAATCCAGGCAATAATCCAACGTTTCTTGCAGCACCAGGACTGGAATAAAATGCTTCACACAGGTAAACAACCGGCAAGCTAACAGACGATTACAGGAACCAACGCCAGTTTGATACACAGTCAAGTGGTTTGATCAACAGGGGAATAAAGTAGTTCTACGTTTATTATTTTATATTTACACTTTTTTAGCTGTTTTGTATTCAAATTAAATATATTTTATTGCATAGCTTGTAGTTAAAAACGTAAAATTTAGAAAGGAGCTGGTAATTAAAGTAAATATGGGTGAAATTGAGAGTGGCGTATGAATACAGGGCAGTTGATAATATGAAGTCAGCCCAGACTTTCCCGATGAATAATGTAGCAAGTCTTGTGTCTGTCAGATCCCGGCTGGGCCTTTTCCATTTTATTTTTGTTCTCAAAGCCTACAACGTAATTAGGTGATATGTAATCTCTGCGATCAAGAGAAACTATAGATATACAGACAGACAGAAAATAGACAGACAGACAGACAGACAGACAGACAGACAGATAGACAGACAGATAGACAGATAGACAGATAGATAGATAGATAGATAGATAGATAGATAGATAGATAGATAGATAGATAGATAGATAGATAGATAGATAGATAGATAGATAGATAGATAGATAGATAGATAGATAGATAGATAGATAGATATAGAACTTTCCACATATCTTCTCCTTTTGTGTTTCGAGCTCTTGGGGTTCATTGCTGCAGATATCACCCGTTTCCACTCATCTCTACGTATGGTTACGGTTAGTTGTGTATCCTTTACAGGACATTGTCTAACCAACCCCAACAACCCCTTGCTGTTGTGTGGTTTTTTCAGGCAAATTTACGTCCAGTAGTTTGCCATTCTTTCCTGGACTGTCGAATCCAACACAAGGCGCATGGCCCACAGCTGGGATCGAACCCAGCATTACGAAGCGTTCGCATCGACTTAGCAACAGAGCCTCTACATATGGATTCTGAAAAAAAAAGGGTAGGGTTGTCTTGTGAATAGCCTCACTGCCCTTTAACAAATATGTCCTGAAAATATTAACTAAAGTTTCGGTGAAAATGGATTTGCTGGGTCGAAAGTGCAAAAAAATTGCAGCCTTGCTGTAACCCACACAGTTTAAAGAACCATTTAGCGGCAAAAGAAGAAGAAGATGATGACGACAAGGAAGAAGAAGAAAAAGAAGAAGACTAAGAAAAAGAAGTAGAAGAAGAAAAAGAAGAAGACGACGAAGACTGACTCATCTAATGAAAAAAAAAAAAATTCTTTTCTTAGCGTTCACCGTGGAAAACTACAATTAGGAAATTACATAACAATGAACACAATCATGATATTGGAATTGGAGGGTCGCCGCATTAGGAAGGTTGAGAACCACTGGTCTAGCAGAACATTGTGGCTATTTGTCCATTTCTGGACTTTGGTCTTGCTTTGCGTGCACATCCGTTCTACAGATCTAGCATATGTATATGCAGACTGCTGGCGCCTTGCCGCTTAGGCAGATATACTCCTACTTCGAAGGAAATTTCTTTAATTAGTCGCCTTCTACGACATGCTTGTCGTGGTTTGGAGTGGGGGTAGTGAGTCTTTTTCTCTTTTCCCCCATAATAAAACCCCAGAACCCACACGGCCATGAGCTTGCGTTTGCCCTGGTAACATTGACTATTGAGGGTGGTTGATTTTGTATTTCAATTGCAAAGGAGTCAATTATTTGTTTCAGTATATTTGTGTGTGTGTGTTTTGTTTATTGCTGACAAGATACAGCTAAATATGCCAGGCAATAAAGTGTTCAATCTATTGTTTTTCACTTATTTGTTTGAATTTACAATGGTGAACAATTGCTTTGATTTAATGCATAATTGTTCAGATCGAAAATGTATGCATGCATTAGTTCCCTTATAAAGAATGTTGTCTTTTGTTTTCTCACTCTTGTAGCCCAAGTGTCGTTGTTTTAATCAGTTGTTCCTCCCATAATTTTCTAGCCATTTTAGTTTATTGGTTGTCATGATGCCAGTAATGTCGTAAAAAATAAACCTTTCCCAATAAATAGAAGAAGGGTTGAGAGAAGTCATGCTATGAACCGGCATCAATTACCACATTTTCGACATTTTGCTAAGTGCTCAGTCCCCGATTTTAATTCGCCAGCAAAGAGTTCCAATGTTGATGGATGGTACTAACAACAGTCTCATTATATGTCAGTTTTGTCTTTCCTCTTCGTTCAGTGTCAACCTGACACCCTTGTCATCCCCTGCTATGCCAGTCTCTCCACACTGTAATGATCTTTTCGTATGATTTACTTGCTTCCATATATCTTCTTCTTCGCATTCACCAGCTGTAGACTCCGGCGGAGAGTTTGGCTTCTTCATACACCTCTGGACTTTAGTCTGTTTCCAGAATCTCAGTGTTGCGTGCACATCCGTTTTTTCAGATCTGAATTATTTGTATTTAGATAGTTGGTTCCTTGCCTCTTAAGCAGATGCACTTCGACTCTGAAGGAAGCCTCAATTTATTTGACTCTTATGACATGCTTGTTAGGGAGGCAGTGGGTGTATTCTTGTTTTCCCTATAACAGGGCCCCAGCACCCATACGGGGTAGTCAGGCACCAATCTACCATCCAGTGCATAGCACCAGCCAGTCTGCCTGTTCATTTCCCACCGGGGGAAAACAGATCCAAAGGGCGCTAACAATAACAGCAAAGGAGAACTTTGAAGTACTGACATTTTGAAAGAGAAGAACACATGTACACAAAATTCAAGATAGGCGTATCAGCCATGTGCACCTGTGGAAATGTGCCCCAGACAGCAGAGCATGTACTCCAGGACTGCACCGAATTTGACACATTAAGGCAAACCTTTTAGCCAGAAAGAACAACAGTGGAACGTAAACTCTATGGACCACTGAATGAACTAATAACGACAGTGAAATTTATACAAGAGACAAAATTGCTGATATAGACAACTTATTTCAGGCGAACAAAAGAAGAAGAAGAAGAAGAAAGAGAAGAAGAAGTTCTAAAGGGAAGAATAAATCATTGTGTATCAATGGCAGTATTTTTCATGGACCTACCTTTTTCATATATAAAACAAGCTTATATCCTTTGACCTCAAAAGCAAAACAAACAAGTGCATTTTATTGTGAAAGCATTATTTAATCAAGCTTCATTAGATAAGTCATTATTAAACACAAGGTTTACTGTGATCTCCACACAATAAAATATTCAAATCTCAGGTAAACAAACTCACAAGCCAGTGCTCCCACAAATGTTTACACAAGCAAAATAACATTTTAGATTAGATTTCTCTGAGACAAGTCAAATACCTAACACTTACACATGATTCTGATTACAATCATGAAACTTTTGTGTATGTCTGTATTATGTTTTATGTATCGACAGCATTAGGCTGTCATTTTCTTGTCTGTTGTCTTCAAGTTTTTGTTTTCTTTAGTGTAAATGTTAACTCTTTTAGTACCAAGTGACCAGGAATGCTCCTTTGATGCTCAAAGCACTTGAAAGATTTTGGTGCCCCCTCCCCCGGTATTAACAGCACTGTAGGCACTGTTTTGCTACTGGCTGTAAAGTGTTAGGTCTTTGCAAATTCTAGGTCATGTTATCTGAGATGGGCTGACCAATTACATTCCTCCTACAACAACCACACACAGGAATGAAATGTAAATGTTCACTTGACACACAGAGATTAGCATGGAACCCTTTGACCCACCATAGGATCCCACGGCCAGTTCCCAAAAGGACCATATGTTAAGACGGCATTGGTGCCCCTACAAACATGTAATTCAAAATATAAACAATAATAAACCATAAAATACAATTTTATTTATCAAAATTAAACAAAACACACTAAGTTGGGGAAAAAGTTTTTTTTTTTTTAATACTTACACTTTATTTATATTTGAAACGTTTTCTCCCACTTCTTTTAATTGCAAAGTCTTAGATCTGATCCTCAGGCTATTGTTCTGTAGCACATCTGCCTCTATGCTAACTAGAGATATGTCATTCAGCCTACCTCGTTGCATTCTTCTGATGGGATGTTTTAATATACTTCAACCGAGAAAAGAAACGTTTAGCTCCAAGGATGTTGAAAATATATTTGGTGCCTCCTCCCTTCATGATGCTCTAAGCATGTGCTAAGTATGCTTAATCTGGCCTAACATGCAACTCACCAAGCATTTGTGATTTTCTACCGACATGATCTACAGAGATCCTGAGGCAACACGGACTAACAACAACACATGCAACACACCTGGCCCAGGATAGAAAACTGTGACTCCCCACTACGCTGTGAGGCAATTGTGGACAAGACAAGACAAGACAAGACAAGACAAGACATGATCTACTTTTCTGAACTTTTCCATGGTGTCTGTGGATTATGCATTTTGAACCTGTTTTGTGATTCTGAAATTCCAGGTTTGATCCCAGCGGCAGGTGATATGGAAGCAGACTGCCTTGCGTTTTATACCACACGTCATACACAAAAAGATAAGAAGGGGGCAAGCACAAGGCAGATCAAGAACAAACTGGAAAGATAACAACAGCCAAACTTGACAACAGCACCATGTGTCTATGGTCAACACGACCAGTATTGGGCTATTGCAAGAAGCAGAACATTATATCTCCCTTGACACCTGATGCGGTTTGATTTGATTTGATTCAAGAACCGACATCACAGCACTCGGGGCATTCCCATAAGTGCTCCGTCCCCATCTTCAGCAGCCAGCAAAGAGCTCCGATACTAATGGTGCCAGTAGCATTCTGATTAAATGTCCGTCTTGCCTTTCCTCTGAGCCTAGAGCATCTGCCAGAACCTCTCGTCACCCCCAACTGCATCAATCTCATCAGACTGTGGTGATCCATCTGCTCCTCCAAATTGTACATGCTCTCCCACAAGGCACTAACCACGTCTGCCCAATCATGTATCAGTATTCCACCAAGTTGTGCAGAGCCAGCCAGTTGTCCGCCTGTTCATTTCCCAACACACCGGCGTGACAGGGTGAAAAAATCCAGCATGCCACTCTGCACAAAGCATACCTGTTCTGATCTTCCTCAGCATGCTTTCTGAATCAGTTACAATCACGATGTATGTGTGTGTTGTGTTCTCTAGCCAGCGGAAAGCTGCAGTAACCGCCTCCACCTCCATTCTTAAGCTGGCTTTTGTAGTATCATATGCTAGGCTCTCCTGCACCAAATGTCGACCATTAACTTTTGCTAAGAAACCCCAAGCACTTCTTTTGCCTCTTGACACTGAACCGTCTGTGTAAATGATCAAATCCGGTTGAGGAAGTGAAAAAGAAAAATTAGGTGTGTGCTGAAATCAGATGTGTTGGGACAAAAGCCACAGATATCATAGCCTAGCTGTAAACCACAAAACAACATGCTTAAAGCCCCTTTAAGGGTGACCCAGAAGAAAAATAATCTCTCCTACATGACATCCTAAACACAGACACTGTCAAGTCAAAGAAGGTGGCCATTACCTGTGCTGTGATAAACACTCCTAAGGACTACAAATTCTGGACACAAAGACTACAAGACAGTCGTAGTGAATCTCCATAATTATGGCAGAAAAGCACTGTCATGGATTCACAGGCTGATATTCCATCATCTGTTTGGGGGAGAAGGGGGGAACATCTTGCTCTGTTTCCTTTGCATCTAACTGCTAGAACTGTTTGCAGGGCACTGTTTTGCTGCTGGCTGTAAAGTGTTAGGTCTTTGTAAATTCTAGGTCATGTTATCTGAGATGGGCTGACCAATTACATTCCTCATTATCTTTCCTTCTAAGAAAATTCCCAAACTTCTTAAATAGACTAACAAGATTATTTTTTACTAAGTCTTAAAAAACTTTTATACAAATCTATTACTCTACGTCTTGCAAACATGAGAAGAAACAAATACAAACACACACACAAAAACAACTTTTAATCTTTCAATTAGATTGCTCATATCAAGTGAGATCACACTGGATATTTCAAGCATATAGATTGCTCATACCAAGTGAGATCACACTGGATGTTTCAAGCATATAGATTGCTCATACCAAGTGAGATCACACTGGATGTTTCAAGCATATAGATTGCTCATATCAAGTGAGATCACACTGGATATTTCAAGCATATGGATTGCTCATATCAAGTGAGATCACACTGGATATTTCAAGCATATAGATTGCTCATACCAAGTGAGATCACACTGGATGTTTCAAGCATATAGATTGCTCATACCAAGTGAGATCACACTGGATGTTTCAAGCATATAGATTGCTCATACCAAGTGAGATCACACTGGATGTTTCAAGCATATAGATTGCTCATACCAAGTGAGATCACACTGGATGTTTCAAGCATATAGATTGCTCATATCAAGTGAGATCACACTGGATATTTCAAGCATATGGATTGCTCATATCAAGTGAGATCACACTGGATATTTCAAGCATATGGATTGCTCATTTCAAGTGAGATCACACTGGGTATTTCAAGCATATGGATTGCTCATTTCAAGTGAGATCACACTGGGTATTTCAAGCATATGGATTGCTCATATCAAGTGAGATCACACTGGATAATTCAAGCAATGGATAAGTAAGTGATTTATAAAGATACAGCCCTATAGACCATCCAGGTCACTTGTTTAAATCCCGGGTGTAACAGGAGTAGTGGACGAGATGGCCATTCGGGTATCTACAGAATACACTGGTGGAGAAAATAAACACATGATTAATAATCACAATCAAGTTGCACTGTGCGTTGGTTAAACTGGAACTTACTTTTACTAAGCAATTTTTGTTCTATTAGACTGAATTGACTGATAGCATGAAGTGACTGGACTGGGGGAAGTAGAACAGACCCACTGTCACCTATTATGCATGTTAGGAAAGATGACTAATTAGGGGACTAAATAGATGCCACCTGGTCTAATTAGGGGTTGGATAAAATCAGATGTTTTGAGACAAGTGGTTAAGATATTACAGCCTAGCTGTAAACCACAACACACAAAACCAACTGCTCTTTTAAGGGGGAATGCAGAAGACGAAGAAGATATTACTTAAATGAGTGACTGGATGAGATGATTGGACTGGATAAGCCAACTGAGTTGCAGAACTGAAAGATTCTACTGAGTGACTAGATAAACTGAACTGAGAGTAGGGATTGAGTGGTGATGCCAAGTGGCTGGACAGACTGACAATGGTTGATGTTGAACTGAGTGAATGAGTGGGTAATGGAGCTGTAAGTTGAAACGGTGATTAATGTTGTACTGATTGTTTGAAATGAGTGAAACTGCACTTTGAAACTATCAATCAGTGCTCTGATTTCCTCTTTAATATCACAGTATGAGACCGAAAGCTGAAGTATTTTAGTGATGTCAAACAACATGGTAGCCTGGAGAGAACGGTTACGGAGGGTAGTTTCCAGAAAACTGATGTAGAAGCAGATATCCGCAAAATGTGGATGCAAGACACTGGAGATTTGACTCAAGAAAGAGAGACTTTCAGATGTGCAGTGACAAGACTGGTGTTCTGTAAGTGACCTGCTGACTGATGATGATGATGACAAGACTTTCTGATCACTCATGAAACCTTCACACCACCAAACTTCCAGATCACACAAAGAAACCTTCACATCACCATATCTCCAGATCATGCCAGGAAACCTTCAGATCACCAGACCTCCAGGTCATGCCAGGAAACCTCCAGATCACCAGACCTCCAGATCACCCCATGAAACCTTCAGATCACCAGACCTCCAGGTCATGCCAGGAAACCTTCAGATCACCAGACCTCCAGGTCATGCCAGGAAACCTTCAGATCACCAGACCTCCAGGTCATGCCAGGAAACCTTCAGATCACCAGACCTCCAGGTCATGCCAGGAAACCTTCAGATCACCAGACCTCCAGGTCATGCCAGGAAACCTTCAGATCACCAGACCTCCAGGTCATGCCAGGAAACCTTCAGATCACCAGACCTCCAGGTCATGCCAGGAAACCTTCAGATCACCAGACCTCCAGATCACACCAAGAAACCTGCAGATCACCAGACCTCCAGGTCACACCAAGTAACCTTCAGATCACCAGACCTCCAGATCACACCAAGTAACCTTCAGATCACCAGACCTCCAGATCATGCCAGGAGACCTTCAAATTACACTAACCAGATCTTCAGCTCAACATACCAGTACAGCTCTCAGTCTATGTTCACCAGTCTATGTTCACCAGTCTATGTTCACCAGAATTTACACACACTAAAATCATTCTGCTGCAGGCTGTAAGTTTTCTCATGTGTTTGAAACAATGAATGCTGTGTGATTATATATTTTACATCTAGTTTGAGCATGATATAGAAAATCTGGAAAGACTAGCATACTGCACTGTATATGATGTCTCTGTGAAAGTAATACATGTATGCTCTTTTCACTGCGTGTAGCGTCTTTCATAGGTGGTTAGTTGTCTCTCATGTTCTTTGGTTAGTGTCCAAGTGTCTGATGCTGGTTACCTTATGTTGGTATAATGACTGCATTTATCATTTGTCTCTATCACAGAAGTAAACTGAAACTAAACTTGAATCTCAACAGCATGTATATAGCAAATATAATTAATTAAGAGAACTAAATGCAGAGGGTGATCTGCAGCAGCAGAGACGCCTACCTTTGTCCTATCCTCTTCTTGCATGACCGGCACACATCCTCCTCTGTCACACTAACTTTAATTGACTGTTTGTGAATCAGATGTTCTGTCACCTGCCAGACAGACAACATTAGAATTCTAATCAGGTTTGGACCTATCTTTATGAACATACAACATTAGGCTGCAGGAATATACAAGACAGCTGGCATTATGCCAGCATAGTTCTGGCATGTATATTTATGCCAAAAGGCTTTTGGTGGCTGGTTTTTCAAAGCATAGATTAATGTAGACATGTGAGGCTGATATATAATACAGAAGACAAGACAGCTGTAGAAGAAACAGGATGGGAGAAGACAGGGATAGAGAAAGTAGAGGCTGGGTAACAGATGATGAAGAAGAAGTAAGAAGAAGAAGAGTAAATATATAAAAGAGAAAGTAGAAGAATAGAGAAAAAAGAAAAGGAGGGGGAAGAGAAGCAAGAAGAAGTTAAAGGTGATTGGAAGAAATGTGAAAGGAGTAGGAGAATAAAAGAAGGAGAGGAAAAGAGAGAATAATAAAAAAAAAAGAAGAAGAAGAGGGGAAGCAAAGGTAGAGAAGAAAGTGAAAATAAGTTAGTTGTGTAATTTTTACAGGACGTTGCAGAATCAATACTAGCATTTTTTTTGGCTGGTGTGATTTTTCTAGGCAAATTTGACGTTCAGTAGTTTGCCACTGCCTCTAAACGGTCAGCTCTCGGCATTACGAAGCGCGTTCGCAATGCCTAAGCCCAAGACGCTGACAAAAAAGTGAAGAAGAAGCAAATGAGGAAATAGGGGAAGGAGGAGGAAGAAAAGTATTGGAAGGAAACCGAGATGAATGAAAGAGAAAAGAGGAAGCAGCAGAGAGGCAGGGGGATGGGGATAGAGACATGAAGGAGACAGATACAGAGAGGGGAGACATAAAGGAAGAGAGACGGAGAGAGAGAGAGAGAGAGACAAGGAAGAACACTAGAAAACAAAAGCGACCTGAACACAACATAAGGGATCACATTAATGATGCAGTCACACAGACCATGAACGTGAGAATAGAACTGACGTGACTCGACGCTGTTGTATGGAAGGCCTACTTAGCGCCCAGGCTCGTTAGTAAATGGGTGACAGAGACGGTAGCAGCTAATGCACTGGTGGGCGAGATACAATGGCTTTTGACCCAGTGACTCCCAAACGGCGGTGATGCGTGGGTAAAATTCAACTTGCCTCCATCAGACAGTTACAATAACAAACTATGGTGCAGACCCCACAGTTCGACTCTTGACTTGACGGTTTGGGAATCTCTGGTACAAAGAATCTAATGTTATAGAACCGTGGCTCTAAACCTTCCTAACGCCGCTACCCTTTACCACAGTTTCCTTATGTTGTCGCGACCCCCAAACAATTATTTTCCTTCATAATTTCAATGAATATGTGTTTTCCGATGGTCTTGGGCAACCTATGTGAAAGCGTCGGTCGACCCCAAAAAAGGGGGTTACGACCCGCAGGTTGAGAACCACTGTTCTAGAAAGTACACTGTGTGCTGACCGCTTTGTTTAACTCTTCCACACAAGAAACAATAAAGCCGGGACTGCGGGAGAATGCAGAAATGAGGTTAGCTATTCACACTGGCACTCTATTATAACCTTGCCATGAATGCAAGGCACCTGTTGGCTAGTCAAGGATGCATTACCTTAGCCTCACCCTAGAACTGGGCAGTCGATTGGACTCAATCAGGCGCAGCAGCAAGGAAAGGGGGGAAGGGGGGGGGGGGGGGCTTGTCAAGGACCTGACAACATTTAGTAAAAGCAGTTTATTCCTCTCACAATGGGATGCCAGACTCGTTCTTCACTCAGCTGGTAAGTTTGCAAGTCTGCTTTAGCCAGTTCTGGCGGCACATCCAGGAATCGGGATGTCACATTTCTCATTGTCACATCCTGGAGATGTAGTTCCTGGCGGCAGGGAAATGACGTGGGAGGCAAACGCAAGCTAGAGATGTCTCAACCAGTGGTGCAGTAAATCCCAGGGTACTGTACTGCAGAAAATCCAAGCGCGGGGGGTGGGGGGGGGGGGTGGGGTTGGTTTGTGAGGTCCTGTAAAGGATACGCAACTTACTAAACTGGGGACTGTTGTGTCAATCCCATAATATTTCGCAATCTAAAAGCGTCAATAGCAACAATAAAAAGGCCCAGTGACTCAGTGAGTACGCTCAGATAGCTAGAGATGGACTGGGTCCAAAGATAGTGGTTGGAGTCTCTAAAGCCTGACATAAATTAGTTTCATATCTGTGCCAGGCACGCAGGTGTGCAAGGAAATAAGCAGGCTGATAGACCTGGATGTAAAGTGCCAAGGAATACCACAATAAATCGATTCAACATCCAATCATCTTGAGCGCAGCACAGGGCCAGCCAAATTACAAAAGCAACAGCAAGAGCGGAAACCACAACAAATAGAAAGCAACAATATTGAACACAATCCAAAATCAAATAAGATCGAGACCAGAAAACATCACCACAAATATAGCTGAAAGGAAAGTGAGCAGAAATGTGAGCGGACCTAGCTGAAAGTGGTCAACGAAAGAGAATTTGAAATTGGATGTAAAGTTACTGTGGGTGGGGGGGGGGGGGTGGGGGGGGGGGGGGGGGGGGGGAGGACCAGTAGATATTCTGAATGCCCTACGACAAGTAAGTTGTTTGCGAGAATCAAGAGACGACTGTGAAACTTCAACCATGACCAGACTGCAAGAACATGTTAAAAGGGATGTGGTCAGACAAGAACATTATATAGGAAGCCAAAGAAGAAAAAGAAACCAACACAGAACTCTCAGCCGATACACACTGCGAGATTTACTAAGGAGAAGATCCGAGCACTTGGACAGAAATGGTTCGATGTGCATTGAGGATAATCTGTCGACTAACTAACTAACTTAGAATGTCGCTTATTTAAATGCCTTGCCAGATTTTGTCAGTAGGCTCAGGCCAAATGTAAATGATACAGCAAACCATACACTGCTTGATGTGCATAGGCAACTGCCGCCCACACATTGTTCGTTGATTAGGACAGACATAGTTACCTGGCATACTAGCCGTCTAAGCATTATCACCAACCATTTCAACTCATATGAAGGTATCTCGCTTACCGAATACCTTCAGTTTCTGTCACAATGCACCCAACATACAGACCTATGTAAAGCGATCGATGGCAATTTGCATAACAATTACTGAATGTGTGGCGCCCAAAAGAAATAATCTATTTGCTGGCTACAACAGTGTGTGTGGAGAACTGGGGACAATTAGATCGCTCGTTTGATTAGATCATGGATAAATATGCTACAATGGCCCGACTTTCGATAACATCAATTGCAACGCGTTTTAACCATTCGTCTTTTTCCTCTCTTCTCCTCCTCACCATTCTTCTTCTCTTCTTCTTTCTTTACTTTCTTCTGCTTCTCTGAAGAATGGAGTGACGTACACGCATAAATCTATACAGACATACACAGTCAAACATGACGCAATATGCAGTAATTCTGTGCATTCAAAACAGAATGGTGTTAACAAGAGAAAGCATTCTGTTTGACTGAACAAGTGTTTGAAAATAGACGCAAATGCAAACGCTGTGATTTTATTACTATAATTTTTTTTTTGAGGAGGGGGGGGGGGGGGGTGGGGTGGGGAATTTTCACAAATCGCTGAATATCAGGTGCAATTTGGTCTCCTCGTTCTTCAGATCAAATTCCATTCGATTATCTTTGGTATTTAGTGAAGAGAAATGTTTACACAAGTAATGTACACACAGTTGAGGACTACAGCTACGGGGGTCGACCTCTAGTTCTGCTTCCATTACGTCTAAATGACAGGGCTATGGGGTGCACTATCTGGTGGCAGTCTTGACACATAACCGAACCATTTGACCTGCTGTTCCTTGGCGCAATTTTGTATTGGTTCCGTCTCAACTTCGTCCCTGATATTGTCATGTGCATCTTGTCTCTTCCAGCAAATTTAAGATTCGTTGTTTAATTTCTACTTCCACTAATCGGGGGAAAATCAGGCGACTGAGGGGAACTACTGATATCGGCGTATGTGGCTTGGGGGTTACGAACGCGCCTTGTAACTCCGAAATCTCCGGTTACATTCAGCTGCAGACGACTGGGGCTTAGCAGGCGAATGTCTAGCCACCCTGCTACGGCAGTTTCCATATCCATTTATGGCTGACAATTATCGTCACAGGCAGTCAAACGGTCGGTGTCAAGTTATTTTTAAGCTGCGGAGATTCTCCAATCAATGACCAGAACAGCGAACACCAAAAAGTAGCGGTTCCCAGCTAAGGTATGGGAACCCCCCCCCCCCCTTCCCCCTTTTTTTTCGAAGGTCTGTCATAGACCCCATATTTTTTTTTTTAATGCTATGCTGAACAAATAATTATTATTATTTAAAATATTAGAATCGCGAAAAACAGGACTGCATTCTAAAGCGTATTTTTTTAACGACCTCATTAAATTTCTTCTTGCGGGAGGATGACACCCCCCCCCCCCCCCATGATACCGAAGACTACCAACTGGGGGAAAAAGGGGGGGGGGGGTGCTCTAAAGTGCCCATAAATAATACATTTACTGAGTAGATCTGCCCCTCCACCATACACACATGTATGCGCGCGAACACAAAGCCCAGTGGGTTACCACAGATGAGTGAGGTGTGTCCATATCTCCTGCTGTCACCGACGCTCTCCCACGTGTACAGATGAGTAACTTGTAATCTGTTATAGTTACGCTGTCCATGCGTTTACAGTATGTTTCAGTTCTGTGCACGCCACTCGTGTTTCGTGTATATAACGTGCGTGCGTGTGCGTGAGCGTGTGTGACATTTAACATTCTGCAGGGACAGGCTAGGCTTTGGGTGTGGCGGTTAGTTTCTACGCGTGATGGAAAGTGTATGTATGTGTGTGCTGCCAACCGTTTGTCTATAAAAATTAGTGTATTACGACGGCTCTTGATTTTCGGTGTGAAAACGTTCAAAGTGCGGTTGTGTTTTATGAGGCGCGTTTAACATTCACATGCGCGCTCATCATGTCTGAAGTGCGGTTACGTGTTATTAGGCGCTTCAAATGTT